CCCATTGTTGTACTAAACTGACCGTTCGAGAAAATTGATCAAAAGATTTTCAGAGGCAGAATCTCGAAAAATCAGATGTCGAGATCTGAATATCGAAATTTCAGATTTCGATAAAGGAGGCCCGGTATCGAGATTTGGGCTCGAGATTAAGGATCTCGAGATTTGGGATCTCGATATTTCAAATTTCGAGATGCTGATCTCGAGATTTGAAATGTCGAGAAGTTAATCTCTCGAAATCTTAAACTGATGAGTCAAATGTCGAGACCAGATGTCGAAACCTTTTCTCGAAATCAAGATTTCGAAATCCAAGATGTCGAAATCCTCAATGTCGAAATCTTTCAACCTGTAAAAATCAGATAATCAAAATCTGAAGATAGTTTCCTGTAGAGTTGAATGTCGAGATCTTCTGGTAAAGTTTTCAGCTCGAAAAACGTAGCAGAACCTGTGAAGAAATAGGATAACGAGAAGCCTATCTCGAGATATCTCGAAAACAGAAATTGCGAAAAACACAAACTGAAGTATACCCTTTGATCGCTTTGAAGAGGCGATTCCAAAGGTGTAACTTTTACAATTTTTGAACAAGAAACAAAATTACAGAGCAAAAAATAATCGATACCAATTGTTAGTCCCTGTTTCTGTAACAGCAAAAACAGAGTATTCTGCAGGAGTTCTTCTGATCGTTCTCGATCGGCTCTGATACCAATTGTTAGTCCCTGTTTCTGTAACAGCAATGAATAATCGATCTAACAAAGGAAGATTAAACGTAAAGATGAAACAGAATGAATCACCGTAAAACCTTCTTTGATAAACCGTGGAACGTACAGCAGAATGATAAGCGTAAGGCTATGAAATAATAAGTACGACGTTCAACCTTTTCCTAAACCTCGGCTCCCTTTTTATAGGCGAGGTTTAGGTTAGGCGTAACAGGCTTTTGGCCTGTTTAAATGGGCCTAACCCTTGGCCTGATTTCTATCTAATTTATGCACTATTTAAATACAAGGATTAAATATAAAGCTAATCTATGACCAACTTGATTCACAATAAAATATCTCCAACACATACCATTCTCGAGCTGGACCGTCTAACGTAGCTATAAATCCCCTGCATCGTATGGCGTCTTCGTATCCCACACATTATGTCCATATACGTCAGGTAACGTGATATATGGAGTTGTATCCCCTTGGTAATGGCGCCTCCATCACAGCGTGAGTGAAGGGACCTGGGATGTGGAGGTCGGCCACGTATGGCTCTCCCCCGACAACCCTTCTCCTTAGCTCGTCCGGTGGCGATGGAGGTGAACTTGCGTAGAAAACACTGCAAGCCTCACGTGCAAGTGGGGTCGAGATTTAGCATTGTGCCCGTCTAGGGAGTTAGCCCGTCTACTCGGCCCACGAGAATGACGAGAGGAATCGTCCTCTCCTTCCCGGGACGAGTGTTGCCCGCCGAGACACATGCTCCCTCCGTGATCTGTCCGTGCTGGTACGTCGCCCTTCATAGTGCTCGGAGGATGTCTCCAAGTCCACGGGAATGGCGTGACTTAAATGCTCGTGCTCCGTCTATTGCGACATAAGCCTTCGGATTCCCTAAGCCAAAACGTCAATAGCACGGGTGGTCTCTTGGAGCGCCTGCACCTCTTCCGGGCTCGTGCGCGGAACACGATGGGGCTCACATCTGAGCCGATCACGAGCAGTTCGCCCACTACGACTACGGCCCAGCATACCCCCCAGGTCTCCATGATTCGACAATTGGTCCCGGAGGTCTCCCCTCGACATCACCTCTTGACTTCTCACGCGATGACCGTTGAGTAGTCCGGAGTGCTCGATGTGAATGTAAACTTTCTTCTGTCGTGGTGCTCCTGCCATCTCCTCTTCCAAGTTCCTACCGAGAAAATGAGAGACAAGCTCTCAATGAAAACATCAATGTTGGTAGAAAATAACCCGGGTAGAGAAAGCGACATCACTTCAGTATAGTAGAAACGACATCACCACAAGTCTAAATAATAATGCTACGTGGGTTTGACCCAATTTAATAACTAATGCTGACGTTAATGGGCCAACAAGCCCAATAAATATGTAAATAAGCCCGGGCCGATTTTCGCTAGCCGGGCTGTGTCCTGGGCCTGGTCGGGGCTAGGCTCGGGTGCAACGGACCGATAGTACTGGACCCGATCCAATATCGCAACATCTATGTTTTATTCCTATTTAACGAATAGGAAGAATGCTGCAGTCACGTAAAACAATACGTCAAAGGTTAAATTTATGAAAGACAATAAGCATCAGTGTCATTCTGCCTTACTTAGAAGATCATCACATACTTTTGTGTTCTGTGCAAGTGTTCTAAGACAAGTACGGAGTAATATTTTGCAATCCATAACAAGGGCGTAGATAGGGGGTGGTGTGATGGACGAAGCTTCACCCCAAATTTGTTGACATTCCGGTGGCGGAGCCAAGAAATTGAACTATTGAGGGCGGAACAAAATATAGTGCGATATCCAAACAGCGAAAAATTGTAAAACAATACATAAGAATTTACAGACTAAATAAAGCACTATCGTATATTACAATACAAAAAAAACTTAAAAAGGTGACTCACAATTGGTGTCTTCAGGGGCGGATGTAGATGGGGGCTAATCAGGCCCCGACCCACCCCAAATTTCATTGTATTTTTAGTGTAAAAATATATGTTAAAAAATTTATCTGAAAAGATCTTTATATCGGCCTACCTCAAGCTTCGATCCTGATTTTGTCCCTGGGTGTCTTTGAATTTTCATTTGCAACGATTCCAAATACATCTATTTCTACTCCATATAAAGTAAACAAGACAATCAATCAGAATTCTATTTTCATCGTAATACTATTTATATCTAGTTGCAAATCGTCTATTGTTAATTTTAACTTACTAAAGTTAGTAAGTTACTGTACAAACAAAGTAACACTTCAATAGATTAGATTTTTTTTTTTGAGAACAGATTAAAATATTACTTCGATTGTTTTTTTGTTATATCGAAATGAAAAAATTTCACATTTAGTCCTTTACTTTCACATTGTCCATATTTAGTCCGTAACCATTATCCCGTCACCACCCCTCTCTTTCCGGCCAGAATTCCGGCAAATTTGATGCAGATTTTAGGTATGAAAAATCAAATTTAATGCAAAGACTGATATGAAAAACTCAACTTTATATAAAATTTAATGTAAAGACTGATTTTGAGGCTGATAAGTGGACTCAATTTGTCGGAATTTTGGCCGGAAGGACGAGGGGTGGTGAGGGGATAATGGTCACGGACTAAATGTGGATAATATGAAAGTAAGGGACTAAATGTGGAAGTGGTATAATAGTCATGGGACCAAAAGTGAATTTTTTTTATCGAAATAATACATAAAAAGAGCTTGATCATCAAATCTACACATAAGCAGATTAACAAGTTAACACATATAGAGTACAAAATACGAATTATAAAATAATCACTAGTCAGCAAATTACTCATATAATTAATACTTAATAGGCTTACAAGAGAAAGTGATAAACATACACTTTTGCAATGCGGAGGAGCCTAAGACTATGTTTGACGGACATAAATTCTTGCCTTCTAACTTTTGTATTATTTAAAAAGTCTTTAAAAGCTTCTAGTTATATGTTTGGCACGCCAATTTTTAAGAGCTTTTATAAAAATAAAAGATCTTTTTTTGAGATGCTACAGTGATTAACATCTCAGATAAGTCCGTAGCTTCTAGCATTAATTAGTCCTAACAGCTTGTATACCAAACAGAGCTAAATCAAACATTCGGCTTTTTACCAAACAGCTACTGCATTTTCTTTTTAAGATCTTTTCAGTCACTAAAAGCTAACAGTCACTAAAAGCTAACAATTACTAAGGATGAAGGCAAAGGGCAGCTTCATCCTTATTCCCATAGGCCGACAAAAAGCAGGATTAATTGCATTTCTAAATATGTTCTCTAAAGATCCAAGGAAATTTGCTTTTGGATAAAAGCCTCATTCACTCACTCAATCAAGTCTACTCAGACGCCTCCGACGGTTTTGATCCATCAGATGAATCGTTCTTCTCAGATGACTTTTTAGGGCACGCCACTGAAAGCGATCGTAGAATTCCTATATATATCCAAGAAGGATGATATTCAAGACTCTAAATTCAATAGAGAAATTTGCTATAAATTTCAGTTCATCACAGAGGACACCAGCTTGCCAACTGAGAACTTGAATACACAACTCAAATAATACAAGAAAACTCAGAAGAATAAACGTCGTCATAGCATGAGAATTAGATCACAATCCAAAAAGTTTCCATGGACCTAGGTTTTTATTTTTCATTTTTGTATGTTTTTTATTTCACTTTCTTTCTTGCATTGTACTTCCCCGTTTCATTAAAAAAAAGATAAACAAATGATGTCAAGTATGTTAAAGGTGTACACAATTTTGTTTTGAAATAAGGGAGAACTATCAAATAAGCCCTCGAACTTTCATAAAAAGTGCAAATAAGCCCTTTTACAGGATGCTTTGTACGGCTGTAGCCATTTGGGGCGGTTTCCAGTGGAATTTTTTGATGAAATTTTTTGAGCATCTTCTTCGTTAAGTCTAGTTAATTCACACCAAGTTTCAGCTAAATATTCAATCTAGAAGACAGTCAAATGATTTTCTGAAATATACTGCGCTGCCTAACTGCACAGTTATCTTCAAAAATTCATTTGACTGTCTTCCCGATTGAATGTTTAGCTGAAATTTGCTATGAGTAAACTAGACTTAATGAAGAAGATGTTCAAAAAATTTCATCAAAAAAGTCCATCGGAAACCACCCCAAATGACGACGACCGGACAAAACCTCCTATAAAAGAATTTATATGCACTTTTTATAAAAGTTAAACGGCTTATTAGATAGTTCTTTCTTTCAAATAAATACCAAGTAACATGTTTTTAGGAAGGTTGTTCCAATTTTAGAGTCCAAAAAAACATGACAACCGGAAGAGAGAGTGATATATACTCACGGTGTGGAGCATGACGTCATGCCAGGGAGCGGAGTTGAGGGGGTTGACGCTGCCGTCTCCGACAAGAGCCACTATTCTCACCGGAGTATCATGCGGCGGCAGGTTCTCCGTCACGGAAGGTCCCAGCGAAGCAGCAGCTGATTTTACCCTTACCGCGGGCCTGCTCCTTCGTCGTCCTTCTGCGGGTTTCCTTGAGAGAACCAAAGGAACAGCACTGAGCCGCCGCCGTGCGGTTTTCAAGCAGAGCGGGTGGAGATGGGCGGCGGTTTGACTCATTGCCGCCATTGGTAAACCGGAACTGGAAGTCATCAACAGTAGTGGCGCTGCGTCGACACTCATAGTACGGTGGTCACTGGCCGGTCAGGGAGGCTACGTCGGAACTCAAAGAAGCTAGCGTTCCTGGAATTCACATTGCATTGCTTTGGATCGAGGAGCCATTGTGAGCTTTTAAGGATGTCTCTTGCAGGTCTCATTGTACGCTTAAAAGGCCCGTCTAGCTCAGTTGGTAGAGCGCAAGGCTCTTAACCTTGTGGTCGTGGGTTCGAGCCCCACGGTGGGCGAATTTTGTTTTAGTGAATCCGTATTTTTTTCTTTTAACTTTTATTTAAAATATAACAAGGAAGCCCAATGGGCAATGGCTGTACAAAGACTTGTTTATTTTTGATAAACTTTTAAATGGAGCCCTAGCACGAATATTTGAAGCTTTTTTGAATAAGTTTCCTGATATTTTTTGTTCTAATTTTTAAAATATGTCATCGACCTTCTTTTCTAATTGCAACACTAATGAATTTTGCGCTATCACATATTCTACTTTGATTACATTTTATTTTTTAATGCCTTATACTTCCTCCGGTTCTTATTTAAGTTCCCAGTTTGACTTCACACATATTAAGAAAATGAATTTGACTTTACTGTGGAGTGCACTGTTTGGCACTCTTTGGACACTGTTTGACACTGTTTGGCACTGTTTTGCACTGTTTTGTTTCCTAAAATGGAAGTGTGAATTTAAATAAGGGACATCCCAAAAAGGAAAGTGGGAACTTTAATAAGAACCGGAGGGAGTAAATGATATTTTTTGAAAAATATTGTTAAATTCTTTTCATTTTATATTTTCAAAATTTGATTTTTTAATATTTTTTACTAATAAGGAATGAAAGATATTAGCGATCAAACTTGTGCGTTGACAAATATGAAAAGTGGACGTTGCAATTACAAAAGAACGAAGTCCTAAAATATCATTTCTTTGTTTGAATGGTTCGATCCTTTTTTGTGAAACCAAGACATCAAAAAACGTCTAACCAAGCATCTTATAGTTCGACAACATCAGTACCACGCTTTCAAGGAGGAGGATTTAACCGTTGTCATTTAAGGGAATATATATAATGAGAAAGTACAACAAAAAAAGCAAAAGCGTTTAACTTTACCAAACTCCTACGTCTAATTCCCCGAGCAATATGGTCCAATTCCAACGCCGGCCGGCCTAACGTTAGTTTACTACAAGCACGCATCGATCTAAGCTTCTTGCCAAACCTTTGGTCTAATCTTTCTTTCTTTATTACTGCTTAACCATTTGTATCTTTATACTTGCCTAACTTTTTATTTTTAATTCCTTTTGTACCTTTTTAGCAATGCGCCTAAGCCATAGTCCATTTAAGGAGTCTTTGTGATTGCTTCAACTTTAAAAAAATGATTTTTTAAAAAGATTTTGGAAAAAGTGCTTAATAGTAAAAGTTGGTAGTGTTTAAGAAAAAGTGATTATGAAAAAGTAAAAGTTGATAGTGTTTGATAAAATAAGTGATTTTTGTGTAATAGAAAAAGTGAAAAGCAGTTTAAAACACCTCTCAACCTGCTTCCAGCTTTTAACTTTTAAGTGATTAATTTAAACAAAAATTGTCACTTGAAAACACTAATTTCAACTTTTTTAAAGCCAAAAGCTGAAAAAATGTTTTTTTTTTAAATTTTCTGCAAACACTCCTTTACTTGACAAACAAACTAAAAAAGTAGAAGACTAACATATCCTAAGATGTAGTTATTTAAAAAAACACATCTATATTTTAATTAAAACTTTTTTCATTTGATATAATTAATAATTAAGGATTACGAACCCTAGCTACCATTAAACATTTATTATAATTATCGTAATAATATAATAAAATTGAAAAACACCAAATTGTGTTTTATAATATTGTTAGAATGACATAATACAATTGGTAAGAATGTAGAGATTAAATTTGAAAGAATACTTTGATTTCGCATCTATAATTCTAATTCGCACATAGTCATTTAATATGAATTCTGATTAATTTTTGATTGCATAAAATATTTGCTTCTTACGTACATGATACTAGGGTTGTAAACTAATCAAATAATTTGTGTTCGATTCGCGATTCGAATTCGTATAAGACGATTCGAATTCGGAAAATTCAAATACAAATAAGAATATTAAATTTGATTCGAGTTGTTATCAAATACAAATAAGAATATCAGTGTATTCGATTCGAATATTAATTAAATATATTCGATTAATAATAATGATAATATTAATGTCAATATTATTAATAATAATAGTAATGACACTATAATAACTTTTAAAAGATAACAATACCATCAAAGTGTAGCCCATATATACACTTTTGCATACAGATTTCAAGCCCATTTGTAATAAATCATAATATAAATACGAATACAAATCAATTTTTTGGTTCAAATGTCTTTCAAATACAATACAAATAATTGTGTATTCGATTTGAAGAATAAAATTGGAGTTATTTGACTTTGATATATACAATTATCAACTTACTTCACACATTATAAGTATATATAATTTCTAATATGTGTGTGTTAGTGTATATTTCAAAAAATTTGAAATAGATTTATATTTATTAATCATAAAATTAATTCACTTTAGTATATTATGTACCATCTAAAAATGCATTGATCCATTAAACTTAAATTCTAAAAACACACATTAAGTCATACCAAACATTTTACAACATAAAAAATATGGAGTATAAGAAATGTTTTTTTTAGAGTGATATTAGACTAATATTTAACTTATACTCAAATCGATTCGATATTCGTATATGATTCGTTAATTATTCGTATTGTTAAACAAATACAAATACAAATCAAAATTAATATTCGTTTCATATTTGAATTCGAATTCGTATTCGAAAAAATTAAACAAATACAAATACAAAATCTCATTATTCGACTCGATTCGGTTCGTATAAAACCCTACATGATACAATAGTGCTATTGGAAGTAAACGCCCGGAACCACCTCCACAAGTTACAATTGGTAACGAATGTCCGACGCTAAATGTTTTCCTTCACAAAGTGAAAACCTCTCCACCGTGTTTAACAAGCCTGTCTACATTCGCCCGTAAACAGAACAAAAGCTACTCATGTGTTCCAATCGTCCAAATAGCTTTTACACATTAGATCAAAGTGAGAATTGTGTGATCGAGAATTCCTCAAAGAAGAGACAAATAATATGAACTATGATTTTTTTGCCATAAAAGAAAAGTAAAGGTTATGTTGGACCAGACGAAAAATGAATATTGGAAGATTGGTACTACCCCGTCCCAAAAAGAGATGCAAATTTGACTTTTCTTAATCAAACAATCTTGTTCTGTTCACTTAATTTGGATGTCAATTTTTAATTATGTTCTAATTTGGAGTTTACAACTTTGAAGATATTTTAATGTAGTTTATGAATATGTAAATTTTAATTATTAAAAATTGAATTAATTATCCATACGGAGGGTTGACTTTTATTATTGGTTGACAAAAAAATGTTGACTTTGTAAAACAAATTGGGACGAAGGGAGTATGAGACAAAGGGAATATATTATTAAGTTACTGGATCATTTGAGACCCGCTAAATATTTCATTATTATGTCTGCAAGTCAGCCTGCACCAGAGTGAGAAGTTCACATTCCCATTTTATTCTACTCAAAAGTGTACAAATATAAAGGCTCAAATCTCCTCTTACAAAACCAAACCGGTGTTGGACAAGGTTACTAAACCAAGTCCAGAAATTCATTTGAAATACCCTATGTTTTTCCAACAAATGCTCATATTTTAATTTATTTCATTCACTGTCTAATAAATCATAAAATTATTTTAATTTAACTGTGGGTAGATAAATAAATTCTTTACGAAAAGTGTGCTTTATATATGAATAAACAACGCAGTTTTCTTCAACAATTTATTTGACTGATTTCCCGATTGTATGTTTAGCTGAAATTTGGTATGTATAAACTAGACTTGAAGAGGAACATACTCAAAACATTTCATTAAAAAATTCTACCCGGAAGGGCCCTCGGCTAGATGGCGAATCCTGTCAGGCCGGCCTGACAGGATCGCTAATATATATATATATATATATATATATATATATGGAGAGAGAGAGAGAGAGAGAGAGCGAGAGAGAGAGAGAGCGAGAGAGAGAGAGAGAGAGTAGTCTTCATGTCAGGCCAGCCTGACGGGAACCGCTGTCTTGCCGAGCCCGTTTGGTGCCCTTCCCGGTGAATTATTTTGATGAAATCTTTTAAGCATGTTGTTTATCAAGTCTAGTTTACTCATACCAAACTTCAGCCAAAAGTTCAAACAGGAAGGCAATCAAATGATTTTCTGAAAAATACTATGTTGTTTATATATATTAACTGCGCAGTGTGTTGGTGTGTTTCGAAAAATAAAGAAAATTAATTAAAATAAATTAATTAAATAAAATGACTAAAGAAAAACAGGAAAGGAGATGAAGCAGAATTAGTCAAAGCTCGTGCTACGCACGATTTCCTTAAAACGTATTTGTTGCCTCCCACGGTGCTAGGAGCGTTGCAACAGTCGTTTCCCAGGATACGATGACTACGAACTAATGTTTGAGCAGAAACAAGAGTTCCAGCGAACGAGAACCAAGTATGAACACAGAGGAAGTTTGCTGAGTAGCTTTAGGTGTTTTTAGCTCAAGAAATTCGTGAGGAATGTATTGTCCGTTGTATTGTTGCAAACCACCTGCCAGCTATTTATAGGAGGATTTGTTGTGTGTTAAATGGGGTGTTAATGGACCTGAACGTTGGACTTCAATGACCAGTCCGTTGGGCATTGAATCATCCATAAACAGTCCATTTAACGGTGCATTAAAAGACAAGAACGTTGGGCATTTAATGGTTGTCACGGCTTGGAGCAGTTCTGGTGCGCGATCAGAATACCCCACCAGAGTTCGAGCAACTCCTTAAGAGAGAGCCTTTCCCTTTAGGAATCTTAACTCCTTAAAAGAGGCTTCCCTTTATAAGGGGGTGAAAATCCCTTGAGTTTTTCGGTGTGGGATAAAACACACTAGAAACTCACCTTTTTCCCAATTTTTCCATTTCAACGAGTGAACTTCGAGAATCAATTTCTCATTCACCCGTTATCCGTTTTGAGTGTACCATATATCGAATTGTAGCCCTTAACAAGGACAATCCGAAACCACTTTGACCCGACCCAAATCGGAAGTGGACCCCACTCAAATAATTGCCCCAAAATGACAATTTAATGCAATTTTAACACATTTTTCCAACACAATGTTCTTAAATAATTTATTTGACTGTCTTCTGATTGAAATTTTAGCTGAAATATGGTATGCGTACACTAGACTTGATGAAAATATGCTCAAAAAATTTGATTCAAAAAAATCCACCATAAAGGGCCTCAAACAAGCTCGTCCGGA